CTTTAGGGAGGTAAATCTTGTTGAAAATCAAAATGTTTAGGACATACTGGGGAAGTGGGTGGTAGGGAGAGACCTAAGTGGAAGACCGGTTTGTGTGGACCACTGGTTTGTAGTAGTCCAGACAAGAAGTAACTAAGATATCCACCTGGGTAATAAAAATATGGATACAGATTTTTATGATCACCGTAAAAGCTCATAGCCTCAGGCTTCCTTCAGCGTTTGGTTTTTAGACAAGTTGAATTTGAAGCACCAACACCAAAATAGAAGATACCTGATGGTTTTAGAGAGGTGACTGGGCTAGAAAAAGACTGGGCATTTTTAGCATAGAGGTAATTATTGAAATCACAGGAGTAAATGAAGTCACCGAGACTTGAGTACAGCAGAAATGTGTGGATTGTCAGGATGTTAGAGAGCTCCTATTAATTTTTCCAGACTCAGCCTTGGCTTCCACGTCATCTCCTCTGGGAAGCCTTCCCTGAGCAACACCTTCCCATCCCCATCTTCATAGATGACTTAAGAGTCCACTCTCAGCCGGGCGCGGGGGCTCATACCAGTAATCACAGCACTTTGGGAGGCCGAAGTGGGCGGACTACTTGAGGTCATGAGTTCGAGACCAGTCTAGACAACATGACGAAACCCTGTCTCTACTAAAAGTACAAAAATTAGCCGGGCGTGGTGGTGCACACCTGTAATCCCAGCTACTCAGGAGGCTGAGGCAGGAGAATCACTTGGACCCGGGAGATGGAGGTTGTAGTGAGCTGAGATCACGCCACTGCACTCCAGCCTGGGCGACAAGAGCAAGACTCCATCTCAAAAAGAGTCCACTCGCTGCTTCCATGGCACCCTGTGTATGTCCCTATTAGTGTATTTATCACACTGTATTGTGGTTGGGTATTTACCTGTGTTTCCCTTTAGTTTCTAGAAAGGAAAATTTATTCAACTTTTTATGCTTCTGGCCTATAGAATTCTCTTGAAAAATGTTTTTATTTTCAATATTTTCATTTATTCAAATTTTATGACTTGTTGCTTTCCCAAGGAAGAGATCCTTTAACATTTCCCTTTTCTCCTCTCAACCAATTATATTACCCCACACAGCCAGTTGTTCACTTGGGGTATAACCCCATCCCTTCCACTGCAATAGAGCGTCTTCTTTAATCTCCAGCAGAGAATGGAATGCATTCCTGATCTTTAAGAGGTGACAATATTGACCAAAAAACGTACCTTCTTCATCCTAGATTTTCTATCCTCCTCAATTTGTTCATCTAGGTTATATTTGGGAAGGAGAGAAAGATCTAGACACCCTTTCCTGAAATTCTTGGGAGCCTGGGGAGAAAAAATTATCTAGCAAAATAAACCTGTCTGCTACTCTGAAAAAAAGCTGGAGTCTAGGGTCAAGGTAACTTGCAAACATTGGCTCCTCCTAGTACCACCTAGTGGACAATAATAAACTAACACACAGGTTCTGAGCCCATGAAAGTAAACGACCAGTCCTAAAATAACTCACTTCCAGATCCCTAGAGTCTTGCTGTTTGCACATTATGACAGAATCACATGCAAGGAGGAGAGCAATATTAAATAAATAGCCTTAGAAATAGAAAAGAAAGTCAGGAGATAATTTAATTTGCCATAAGCTACAAGGTCCCATTGGGGAAGTAATTAAAAGACCATCCTTCTACCTCACACATCCCAAATATAGGAACCAGAAGAAGGAAAGGATGTGTGATATCTCAGACCCTCACAATTGATTGTATCAGTGGCTTTCAAATTTATTTTATATATATATAATATACAGTTGTGTGTTGCTTAGCAACAGAGATGTGTTCTGAGAAATGCATCATTAGGCCTTTTCGTCACTGTACCAACATTATACAGTGTACTTACACACTAGATGGTACAGCCTCCTACACACCTAGGTTATATAGTATGGCCTATTGCTCCTAGGCTACAAACCCCTATGGCGTGTATAAGCATCTACTGAATACTGTAGGCAAATGTAACACAATGGTATATTATTTGTGTATCTAACCATATGTAAACATAGAAAAGGTACAGAAAAATTAGGATATAAAAGGTAAAAAATGGTACACCATGAATGGAGCTCGCAGGACTAGAAGTTGCTCTGGGTGAGTCAGTGAGTGAATGTGAAGGCCTAGGACATTATTGTACACTACTGTAGACTTTATTAATGTATACTTAGGCTGCACTAAATTTATAAGAAAGTATTTTTCTTCAATAATAAATTAACCTTAGCTTACTGTAAGTGGTGTTGTTGTTGTCGTTATAGAGTCTCACTGTGTCACCCAGGCTGGAGTGCAGTGGTGCGATTTCAGCTCACTGCAACCTCTATCTCCCGGGTTCAGTGATTCTCCTGCTTCAGCCTCCCAAGAAGCTGGGATTACAGGCATGCACCACCACGCCTGGCTAAGTTTTTGTCTTTTTAGTAGAGACAGAGTTTCACCATGATGACCAGGCTGGTCTCGAACTCCTGGCATCAAGTGATAAACCCACCTCAGCCTTCCAAAGTGTTGGGATTACAGGCGTGAGCCACCGCGCCCAGCTGATATTTTTACTTTATAAACTTTTAAATTTTTTGTTAACTTTTTGACTCTTTTGTAAAAAACACTTAGCTTAAAACAGAAACACATTGGACAGCTGTACAAAAATATTTCTTTATGTCTTTATTCTATAAACTTTTTTATTTATTTATTTATTTTTGAAATGGTGTCTTGCTCTGTTGCCCAGGCTGGAGTGCAATGGCGCGATCTCGGATCACTGCAACTTCTGCCTCCCAGGTTCAAGCAATTCTCCTGCCTCAGCCTCCTGAGTAGCCAGGATTACAGGCACACACCACAGTGCCAGCTAATTTTTTCGTATTTTTAGTAGAGACGGGGTTTCACCATGTTGGCCAGGCTGGTCTTGAACTCCTGATCTTAAGTGATCTGCCTGCTTCAGCCTCCCAAAGTGCTGGGATTACAGGGTGTGAGCCACCACGCCTGGCTCTTTTTTCTATTTTTAAAATTTTTATTTTATTTGTATTGTATAAACTTTTGTTAAAAACTAAGACATAGGACAGGGCGCAGTAACTTTTAGTAATGTTTTAGTAACTTTTAGTCTCTACTAAAAATACAAAAAAAAAAAAAAATAGTCGGGCGTGGTGGCACACGCCTGTAGTTCCAGCTACTCACGGAGGCTGAGGGAGGAGAATTGCTTGAACTCAGGAGACAGAGGTTGCAGTGAGCCAAGATCGCACCACTGCACTACAGCCTGGGTGACAGAGGGAGACTCCATTTCAACAAAACAAAACAAAACAGAACCTAAGACATGGGAACTGAGCATAGTGGCTCACTCCTGTAATCCCAGCACTTTGGGAAGCTGAGGCAGGCTGATTGCTTGAGCCTAGAAGTTTGAGACCAGCCTGAGCAACATAGTCAGAACCCATCTCTAGAAAAAATTTTAAAACTTACCAGGGTGTGGTGGCACACGCCTGTACTCCCAGCTACTAAGGAGGCTGAGGTGGAAGGATCACTTGAGCCCAAGGATTTAAGACTTCAGTAAGCCGTTAACATACCACTGCACTCCAGCCTGGGTGACAGAGATCCTGTCTCAAACAGAAAGGCCAGGAGTGATGGCTCATGCCTGTATCCCAGCACTTTGGGAGGCTGATACAGGCAGATCACTTGAGGTCAGGAGTCGGAGACCAGCCTGGCCAACGTGGTGAAACCCAGTCTCTACTAAAAATACAAAAATTAGCCAGGCATGGTGGGACCCTGTAATCCCAGCTACTGGGGAGGCTGAGGCAGGAGAATCATTTGAACCCGGGAGGCAGAGGTTGCAGTGAGCCAAGATTGCACCATTGCACTCCAGCCTGGGCAACAAGAGGGAAACTCTGTCTCAAAAAAAAAAAATTGAATACCTCACCCTTATCTACACCAACTACGAGGTGGGCAAGCATGACTATGTGAAGGCACTCCCTGGGCAACTGAAGCCTTTTGAGACCCTGCCGTCCCAGAACCAGGGAGGCTAGGCCTTCATTGACCAGATCTCCTTCGCTTACTACAACCTGCTGGACTTGCTGCTGATGCACGAGGTCCTGGCCACCAGCTGCCTGGATGTGTTCCCAATGCTCTCGGCCTACGTGGCACCAGGACCCGGCCCAAGCTCAAGGCCTTCCTGGCCTCCCCTGAGCACCTCAACCACCCCATCAACGGCAACGGGGAAGAGTGAGGGCTGGAGGGACTCTCAGCGGGAGGCGGGGGCTGTTTGCCTCCCTTTCTCCAGGACCAATAAAGTTTCTAAGAGAAAAAAAAAAAAATTGAAAGAAATATTGGGCCAGGCTGGGAGGCCTGAGGTGGGTGGATCACCTGAGGTCAGGAGTTTGAGACCAGCCTGGCCAACATGCTGAAACCCTGTCTCTACTAAAAATACAAAAATTAGGGAGTGTGGTGGTGCGCACCTGTAATCCCAGCTACTCAGGAGGCTGAGGCAGGAGAATCGCTTGAACCCGGGAGGTAGAGGTTGCAGTAAGCTGAAACCACCCCACTACACTCCAGCCTGGGAGACAGAGATAGACTCTATCTCACAAAAAAGAAAAAGAAAAAAAAAATATCGGTGGGGCACTGTAACTCACGCCTATAATCCCAGCACTTTAGGAGGCCAAGGTGGATTGATCACCTGAAATTAGGAGTTCGAGACCAGCCTGGCCAACATGGTGAAAACCCATCTCTACTAAAAATACACAAATTAGCCAGGTGTGTGGGCGCCTGTAATCCCAGCTACTCGGGAGGGGGGCTGAGGCAGGAGAATTGCTTGAACTCAGGAGACAGAGTTTGCAGTGAGCCCAAATTACGCCACTGCATTCCAGCCTGGGCAACAGCACAAAACTCTCTCAAAAAAATAAAACAAAATAAAAAATAACTATCACTCCCAATACTTGTCTTCCTGTGCCAAACTCTTAAGAGATCCAGCATCTACTAGGAGCTGAAAATAAGGAGGCAAAGAGAGACAGGTCTACTTGTGTTTATTCTCATTTTTGCTTTTTTTTTAAAAAAAAAAAAAAAAAAAGATGAGGGACGGAGAGGGAAATAACCCATAAACACCGCGAACAGGAACCAAGACTCCAAGACTTGGGCATACTCCCTCTACCCTCAGCCCCAGTTCTCCAAGAGATTCCCACCCACCTGATTTTCTTTTAAAACAAGACACCCAAATCAGCAGCAAAGGTACCTGGGGTAGTCACTGAGATTTTGAACACTGGGAATGGGAGGGGGAAAGTCCAAAAAGTAGAAGTTGGGAAGAAAAGGGAAGGATTGAGGGAGATGCTAGGCTCTGGAGGACAGAGCTGGGCCGCAAGAGGTGGAAGTAAGCCAGTATAGGGGTACCCCTCCTGACTGCTGTTGCCCATATTCCCCCGGACCCCAGAGAGCCCCATGGTTTGTTCTGCAGTCCATTCCCGATTCCCCAAAGGCCTCAGAGGCCTAACTCCAAGTCCTCTAACTCCTCTTCTAGCGCCCTCCTCCTTGCTAGCTTTTCCAGCTGCTCTTTGCTGGGCTGGCTTACTTCCCCAGCCTGGATCCGCTGCTGCAGCTCTTCCACCTGCCGGAGCTTCTTCTTTAGGTTCTTTATCTTCTTGGCTTTCTCAGTGGTGGCAGCTGAGTCAGGCTGGTCAGATGCAGCTGTGGGGGCTGCCCGGGAGCCCTGTGGAGCATTGGGGGGTTGGGCTGTCTCTTCCAGGGACACCTTATCAAGAGTCCTGCTCAAGGCCTCTGCCTCTCCTTTCTCTTGCTGCTGCCGCCTCTTCTCCTTTCGCTTCAGGTTGCGTTTGGCTGTCTTGGAGAGGCCTGGTTCACCACCTTCAGGCCTGGATGGGGTGACAGGAGCAGTGGCCTCAGGGCTTAACCCTGGGGGCAATTCTGGTTTACTCTTGAAAAACTTCACATACTTGTTTTCATATCTGCAGGAAACAAAGGATGTCAAGAGTTTCAGAGAATCACTAACTTTTTGATCCCTTTTCTTAAACTTCCAAACACTTCATCCTCATTACATTCTTGCTTCCTTTTCTTGTTGCTGTTTTTGTGGAGTTTTTTGTTTGTTTTTTGAGATGGAGTCTTGCTTAGTTGCCCAGGATGGAGTGCAGTGGCGCAATCTGGGCGCACTGCAACCTCCCACTTCCCGGGTTCAAGAGATTCTCCTGCTTCAGCCTCCTGAGTAGCTGGGACTACAGGCTCGTGCCACCACACCTGGCTGATTTTTGTATTTTGTAATTTTGTATTTTTAGTAGAGATGGGGTTTCGCCACATTGGCGAGGCTGCTCTTGAACTACTGACCTCAGGTAATCCACCCGCCTGGGCCTCCCAAAGTGCTCGGATTACAGATGTAGGCCACCGGGCCCGACGGCCACCTTTCTCTCTTTATGGTCCCTCCCCAACTTTCCTCTGCTCTGCAGGAAAGATGCAGCAAAGTCCCTAGAAGAGCTTTAGAGCTCTGGAGGTTCTAATGAACAGAGGTCAAAAGTATAGGACTAGTGATCTGTAACCCTCACTCATCCCTGAATCCCAGACCCTTCCTCTCCTTTCTGACAGTTGCCCGTCCTTCCATTTCCCTGGGGCTTAGGAGAGTCCTCCCTGAACTTGAAGGCATAAAGATATTCTATCCTTCTGTAGGGACCCCATCAGAAAACTCCTACTCAAGCCTAACCACGTACACTGGGACCTCCTCCTGGGGCACATATCCTTCTTTCACCCTCCGCTGCTTGCGCCAGGTCCCGTCAGGTCGCTGTGTTGAGGCGATATACTTGCCTAAAATACGAAAAATTAAGTTGAAAATTACTCTTATTTTCAAACATTTTACAAGATGAGACAAGAATGTATAAATGTACACACCATCTCTCAGCACCCATTCATCCAAATGCAACCATTAAGGCTCCTTTTCTCATACCAACACTCAACCCCTCTCTCATTATTTATTTACTGAATGCCAATACACTGTACAGCAAACTATCCTTGCCCTCAAGAAGATTCTATTTGCATAATTTAGTAGGTAAGACAGGATAGGCACAGAGGAAGAATTTTGTTAAAAAACCAAAGCAATAGCATGGGAACATGGAAGGCGGTAAACGAACAAGAGGCTAAAAAGACGCAAAAACCATAGAGAGGAGAAATGACAAGAGCAGATGTTGTAAAGAAGGAGAAATTTTATTTATATGGACCTTAAAAAAATAGGTCAACTTTTAAGAATTCATACCATAGATATATACACACCAGTACACAAGGATATATTTAAACGGTATTTGGTTTTTGTTTTGTTTTGTTTTGTTTTGAGATGGAGTTTCACACTCTCACCCAGGCTGGAGTGCAGTGGTGCAATCTCAGCTCACCGCAACCTCCACCTCCCAGGTTCAATCGATTCTCCTGCCTCAGCCTCCTGAGTATCTGGGATTACAAGCCCCTGCCACCACATCCGGCTAATTTTTGTATCATTAGTAGAGATGGGTTTTGCCACGTCAGCTAGGCTAATCTCGAACTCCTGACCTCAGGTGATCCACCCACCTTAGCCTCCCAAATTGCTGGGATTATAGGCATGAGCCACTGTGCCCGGCCTTTAAAGGGTATTCGTTGATGCATGATTTAAATTAGCAAAAAGCTGGCCAGGTACAGTGGCTCATGCCTGTAATCCCAGCACTTTGGGAGGCCAAGCCAGGGGGTGAATCACAAGGTCAGGAGTTCGAGACCAGCCTGACCAACATAGTGAAACCCTGTCTCTACTAAAATACAAAAAAAAATTAGCTGGGCATGCTACAGCGCGCCTGTAGTCCCAGCTACTCAGGAGGCTGAGGCAGGAGAATCGCTTGAACCCAGGAGGCAGAGGTTGCAGTGAGTCGAGATTGTGCCACTGC